GAATGAAGAAGAATTGTAAACCCAGTTAACAGAGACAACCTAAAAGTAAAGAGGCAACAAAGCAATGAGATTTTTGAATGTCCAGAGTGCGGTACACAGATAACATCACGTATCGGGCTTTTCAGCCACAGAAAAGCTCATGAAAGAAAACGCCTTGAGTGACCATCTGATGCATACCATGACGAATACTCGTCAGCGAGTAATGGCAGTATTACTACATGTAACACCTTTCATGTAACTGGTTTCAGTTATTCTATAGTTGAAAAACTGAAAATTATGCATTTCCGCAGAATATTTTTTGTGACTTTCTATTTGGAAAGGGTTCCAAATTCTAAATAATCGAAAATTTCTTACATAACTGGTTTCAGCTAAAGGATAGGTGAGCCCTAATATCTGAAAGAATTTTAACCATATACTAAAAGTCCCCATTTAAAGACTAGTGAATTAAATATCATTCGGATTAAGTACTAAAAAAGGATATATACCGAAAACAAGATACAAGATCGACAAAGGCTACTTTACCGTATAAATGCGGAACATCTGAAAAGAACCAGTTTTTCCCATTTACGAGGTAAGTATTGTATAACGATAATCTTAAATTGTTTTACAATGGAAACGGTAAAGAATCGTAAAATAGGCATTCGATATACTGCAATAACAAATTGTGCAATTCTACAGTTACAATATTAAAAAGAGCATGAATAGGGACAATAATATTACTACATATTCAATGGTTGTACTAGTTGTTCGTCTTAGAAACATGCAATATCCATTCTCTTGTTCAGTTTTCAATTTATATTCTTTTTACAGTGATGTTCTTAAAATTTCAGTTATAAATTTTCAATTTAATGTTTTAAGAGACAATTTCGCTAGTCCGAAAAAGCAGCAAAATAAGCATTCGGCATTTAACAGTTTATGTAAAACTAGCTAGGTATTTTTACACAAATGAAGAAGAAAATTAAAGATAAAGGATTATACTATATCCGTATTGCACCACATTTTTAGACAACTTCTTTATTTTTAAGATTTTGATGGTCAAACATCAACAAAATATTCCTTATGTTTGGACTAAATTTTCTCGAAAATAAAGACATAATTTAAAATTCCGTTACAATACGGAAATAGATTAAAGTTTTATGATTACAGTGATATATAATTTTATATGATTTTGTAACAAAAATTATAACCTGGGGTTCGTAACGAAAATTTGACTAAGTGAATTGAAATACCAAGTGTGTGGTATCAAATTATTCGTAAGAAACGGCTTTTTCGAAATATGCTAATGAGCCACCCTAATTCCATTTGAAAAAATTGAGATATGACTAAATATACGATTTGGGCATTTTCTAACTGGGCAGGACAAGACACTATATAAAAACATTAGATGATCAAATCTATTTTTTCAAGGATTCTTAATTAAGAATTACTTACTGGTTTTAACATAGCCATGGCCCTCTAGATTGAATTTTAAAATCCGATTTTTTATTAAGCGAGAATGTCAAAAGTTGATATAATATGATATGTCATTCTATTCATAATGTCATTTTCTAATGAATAAAGTAAAAAAATACCGAGGGTGCCATTTAAAAATCAAAACAGTAAGTGACCAAAAACAATTGAATACGTCAATCAATTCTAATTTATGTCGTATAGTAACGTACCAAATCTCATTGTTTTATCTGCAAAAATAAAAAAGTTATAGGGGTGAGCCACTTTTGAAACGCACCCGGTATAATTTAATGTAGCTACCAAATGCCAAAATTTTCGAAGTGAATTCCACGCTTAATTTCAACGTTAACAACAATTGTAATGGAAATGTCCCTTTACAAACATAACTGAACCTTTACAAAAGTGCATTTTATTCAAAGGAAAAAGGAAGTGCCTTAAATTGGTTATTTGCTCGGGTTTGTCTTTTTTTTCAACATAAAAATTGGGTGTAAAATAATACACTTTATGTAGGGTTTTTGAAATGAAAAGGTGCGTTTCCATCAAGCGCGCATAATGTTTGCAAATGTTCGCGAATTATCAGTAATATTTGCAAACACATTTATTTGTCCGGTGGATTATTAGAAGGTTTGCAAACGTTATTTAGAAGGTTTGCAAACGTTCGCGAACGGTCGCAAACCGATTGGCGATGTTTCGGCCGATGTCGGTACATCAAAGAGATTTGCTGTTTGTACGCGTTTTGTGGAAACAGGTTTAAACGAAACTTTTTTTTTAAAACAGGGACCATTTGAATTTGAACGTGTCATTTTGTGTGGTTCTTTTAAACTGTCAATGATAGCTTCACACACCCCTGGAATAATTCTTGATATAAGTGGCTTCGAAACTCTAAAGAGATACATAAGGCTGTTGTATGAATCTCCGGTGGCTAAAAACCGAAGTGTTATAGCCAATCTCAGTTCCACAGGTATACAGTCTCTGTAATTTGTATCCTTTTTACCTATTTTAGGACCGATTAACGATATTAAGTATCGAAAGTCTTCTTGTGAAATTCTAGAGAAATTCCTAAATAGACCACTTTATCTGTTGTTATATCACGAATCAGTTGTACTGAGTTTCTCGTTTTCAATAAGTAGGACGTCCAAAACCTATGTTTTCTTTTCTTTTTTTTTTTCATAGTCTCCTTTTTTTTCAAAACACACAGTATAATAAAAGCAGCGGCATTTACAAAAGCTGTTTTTCGCGGAGCTATTTTGTGCAAATATTCCGGATCGTTGACAAATGTTCACAAACTCACTGTTAATTCGCGAATTCTTATCTTGTTCAAAAAGAGAAAAATTGAAACGAACCAATATTTGCAAACGTTTTCAAATATTCACAAATAGTTGCGAATGTTTGTTTGTCAATGTTTTTTGGTGGAAACGCACCTAAAAAGATGGAGGTTTAAAAACACAAAGGTGGTGTTAACTTACTAATAGAGAAAAGCGCTGCAAGCAAAAGAATCTTTTGCGACCCTACCCAATATTTTTTTAACAGTGATATTTAACTGTGATATATCGAAAAAATATTTAATTAATTATTATATTTCATTAGCCAAATGCAAAATGGTTAAAAAATTATTATGGTCTCATATATCTTGAAAAGCCGAATAATCAGGAAAACACCACATTTCATTAATGAAAGTTGTGGTAACTTTTTTTATTTTGAAAACAAAGTTTTAGATTAAACTAATATGGTTTAAAGGTCATGTTGAAATATTAAAAGTTAAACTGAATAGAAAAAATTGGCGCGGGGAGACACGTATAGCCGCCCATTCTAAAATATGTTAATATCTCGAAAATTACGACTTTGACTGATTTTGATGTGATTACAAATTTTGTTGCAAATATTATTCCTAATCTTAATTTGAAAACCGCGTTTCGCTAGCTACTGTAATTTTGGAGTTACGACTTTTTAAAATTTTTAACCCCCTCCCATACCCCCTTACCAACCCCCCACCCCCACCAAAAACTAATGGCCAGATTCTCTGGTGCCACATTATTTTTGTGCCAAATTTGGTTAAAATCGGTTCAGCGGTTTTTGAGTTATCGTGTTACAGACGGACAGACACCATGAAAATATTTTGTATTTAGGTCATTTATGACCCAAGTAACTCATTTTGAGTGAAATTAAAAAAAAAATTTTTTTGCCGATCCTAATAGCCTATCATACCTATTGGTATGGTCGGCTAAAAATAGAAAATTATATTCATATTATGATTCCTTAGTTCAAAAAAATAGTATATTATTCAACCAGCATATCGTCCCATTGCTGCCAAAAGTCACTAACTTACTTTTTATTGCTTCCGAGAAAAATGCGTAAGATGCGTAAGATTGCATAAAGATGTTATAGTTAGTAACTATTCGGTATTAAAATAAAACATAAATAGCCAGAAATCGTAGTTAATGACTTTTGCAATCGATTCTCCGATTCAAAACATAGTTAGTGATTGAATTTGGTTGTTCGGAAAAATGTTAGTTAGTGACTTTTGGCAGCTATAGGACGATATAATGGTGGCTGTTATTCACGCGGATGAAGTTTACACGAGCCGCAGGCGAGTGTCATAAATCATCCAGTCAGTAACAGCCATTATATGCGAGTATAATACTATATTTTATTCAGGACTATCAAAAAAATTTAGATAATATTAATATAAGTTTTTATTTTTAATAAACAAATTTTGAAACACCCCATAAGTAAATACAAAAAATAACATTGAAAACTTCAAATTTTTAAATCGAATTTTAGAATGCAAAAAGTGACATTTAAAATTTCAAATTTTTAAATCGGATTTTAGAGTAGAAGATAAGGGAATTTTAACATTGTTTCTTCGTAATGGTGTTTAATAATTTGTTTACATGTCGAGACTTATCAAAAAGGATAAAATATTTTAAAAATCTTATGACACGAAAAACAACTTTTGGAACACCCCATAGATGAATGCAAAAAGTGACATTAAAAACTTCAAATTTTTAAATCGAATTTCAGAGTAGAAAATTAGGGAATTTTAACATTTCTTTTTTCATATTGGTGTTTATTAATTTGTTTACATGGCGAGATATAATATAAGAGGACGTTTAAGCAGCAAAAAATATTTTAACAATCTCCTGACAAGAAAAACAACTTTTTGAAACACCCCACATAGATGAATGCAAAAAGTGACATTGATAACTTCAAATAGCTCTTTGTTTGGAGATTGGATCGAGATATCCGTGGAAGCGGTGAATAATGAAACCATTATTCACTAGTGAATAATGAATATTATTATTATTTCATAAACTCATGTATAATAATCAAATTATAGACGAGTCGTGGATAAACTCCTTTTTACTCGCAAAACCTTGGGCGCGTTTTTAGAATTCTACAGCAAGCAATAGAAATATTACGCGTCTTTAAACTTGTCAACAAATTATTTCAATTATAATTTGCTACCAATTAAACTTTCATTACAATAAAAATTTTTCTGTAATCCAATTATAATCAAATAAAAACAAATAATATAACCAAGATTTACTTACAATTAGTGGAATATGGTAGAAAAGGTAACACACGATCAGCACCGGATGCATAGTCTCCAACCCTGTCCTCTTAATTTCCACCTCATCCTCCTCATCTTGTTGTTGTTTAATTATACAGGGTCGACGTGAGTTCGTCGAGCTGACAGTAGTAGAATTATTGGACAGGACGTCGCTGTTACTGAACTGGCTGTTGACCCAGGTGTCTTTGTTGTTGCAATAGTTGTTATTGTCTTTCCTGCTAACCGTGTACGTGTCGTAGAAACCCCGGTTCTCGTTCACGTTCGCGTTGATACCGTGAAAATTGTTACTCAACTCGCTCAGATCGGAATTGCTCTTTTTGATGTAATCGAACCCGTCCTTCTTGATTTTGTAATAATTAAAGCATATGATTAGGAAGCAGATCAGCGAAATGGAAGCAAGGAAAACGTGCAGGACAATGATGAAAACGTTGAATTTGATGTCGAGTTCGAAAGGAAGAAAGGCGCAAGGACTGATTTCGAAACTGTCCGCGAAAACGTTACTCATGCCGCCGTCTTTTTGAGCGAGAATGGCCGCTACACCCACGCAAGCGCATAGGGTCGTTAAGCAAAATAAATGATAAATTATATGAGTTGACGTGAGAAAATTTCGTAAACTTTGACTTTTTCTATGCAGTTTGGTAGAAAACAAACCGATGACAGCGATGGAAGTTAAACTCGAAGCTTGAAACGTATGTATCGAATTGAAAATCCACGTGACGATGCTGCAATAGTCCGTGTTGAATTCGTTATAGTTAGAGATGATTGCCAGGGTGTACGTTAGTATAGTAATGTTTCTGAGAATGCTGACGATTAGGACTGCCACGATCGGTATGTCGTAAGCTCCCCATTTTTTTCGATTTTTGTGAAAAATTACGACGGTCCAGCAAAGGAGAATTATTATTATCGGTAGAGCTATTATTGCGGCCAGCTGTTCGGCTGAGTATTTCAGCATGGTAGTTGTTGTCGCTGAATCTGAAAATAAAAGAAAAATATGCTATTAAATCCAATATTTTATATTTTTCTATATTGTAACTATTGCTATTAGTAAAATAAAAGACTAATTCACCACAATGCAGTGGACGCACACTTCGCTAACTATATGCGGTACCAATTAAACTTTTCGTTACATAATAGAAGGAAAGATTTTTAAATTCTTTGTTGCCGACAATGGACATATTCGGCTCCGGGCTGACTAACTGAATTTAAATTTCCCGCTGGGGATTCAGGTGATACCTATGCTATAAAAAATGTCAAGTTGCCATATTTATTTACTTATTTCCTGACATTGTCATTCGTTTTGACACTTTAATTTTGTATTACGAGTTTTTGGTTTAAATAAATAGTGTTGTGATGCTTTAAGCTTAAAAATGTCTACTAGCAGACCTTGTAGTCGAACACTGTTCTTTTTAGAACCTCTTTTAGTGCGAAATGTACAGGGTTGGTCAAATTGGACGCTTTTAAAGGGAAACATCCTTTTCTATAGGAGATAGACGAAAACTAATATCGGTGTCTGGAGCTCAATTTTTATCAAAAACATGATGGTGAAAACCGCACATTGATATCTGTAACCGTTTCGGAGTTACGGGGTGTTTTTCAAAAATGTGCATTTTTAATATATCGCTGTAACTTCTTTGCTATGGAAAATTTTGTATTTTTGTGAAAACATTTTCAAAGCACCTTTTTACGTAGAATTTAATGGTTTAAGTATAATTTCTTTAAAATTAATAATTTAAGAATTATCAACAGAAAATTTGATTGTTTATATTGGACACCCTGTATATTTTTAATTCATTGAAAAGAATTTAAAATTACCTTTCCAAAAATATAGCATACTTGATATTTAGCTCGATTCCTCTTCGAGAGTTTTTAAAAATTCGCCCACTTTGAATAAGTAGGCTTTGAACGGCGCCGGCGCTGGCTATAATGCGAGAAAATCTAGCTGTGAACAGCAATTAAAACAAAAATAATATTTGCAATGGGACATGCAGAATTTTATAACAATTTAAACTATATTTAATAATATCAACACATGTAAAATTTTATCTAATAACAATTAAATTAATAGCAAACCAAGACATGAGATTTTGCTTCAGGTGTTTGACATGTCGACCGTCTTCTGTTATGGACAGACGGTGCTGTTTTTGAACATTTCTCGCGGAATTCATTAACTCAATGGGGGTAAAAGATACCCTCGCATAACCACTAAGTACTTCAATTCTTGTCTAGATTATACGGGCAATTTAAAAATAAGAACCTTTATTCTTCCGCAAAGATAAAAATCCACTAAGATTATCAGGCACTAAGTCCAGCGGCGTCGGCAACCAACGGCTGGGATCTTGGTTAGCTATTTAATTATTCCCGAAATTGGCTGCAAAAATTTGCTGCTAACTTCAGCGTACTGAGACGGTGCCCCGTCTTGCTAGAAAAATATGTTTTCGAGTTTCATTAGGAGCAGATCATCAATAAGGAATCCAAAGCCTACTAGCACAGAATATCTAGCTACGCAATGCATAGCTAGATATTCTGTGCTACTAGTTAAAAGTGGCGAAATTATAAAAAATCTGTATTTCGAAGGGAACTATAACAAAATATCAATTGTGCTATATTTTTGGAAAGGTAATTTTAAGTTCTTTTCGTCCGAAATAAAACTCAATTTTTCTATTGATAACTCTTAAATTATTAGTTTTAAAAAAAATATACTTAAACCATTAAATTCTACGTAAAAAGGTGCTTTGGATCTGTTTTTACAAAAATAGAAAATTTTTCATAGCAAAAAAGTTACAGCGATTTGTTAAAAATGCACATTTTTGAGAAACACCCCATAACTCATAAACGGTAACAGATATCGATGCGAGGTTTTCACCTTCGTGTTTTAGATAAAAATTGAGCTCCAGACACCGATATTAGTTTTCGTCTATCTCCTACAGAAAAGGGTGTTTCCCTTTAAAAGCGTCGAATTTGACCCACCCTGTACAAGCTTAAAGGATGCTTCACGCTATACCGTGACTGGTCCGAGCCGTGCGTCGGTGAAGACACGGCCAAACATTGTCAAGTGTTCTTTACACATATACATTCATGCCAGGCCGAGCACGACCCGAGCTTCGCTGGAACTCGTCGGTGCCCCGTCACAGAAATGTCGCCACGTTGCGGAAAGCATGTATGTACTTTTCCTGGTGCCCCATGATATAAACAAAGTACACTTTTTATCATGTCTGTAGTAGGTAGTGAATCTTACAGTAGTATTTAATGACAGGGAATACATAGAATTGGACAATGAAAGGATGTAATGAAGAAGATAGGTCCTTCATCTTGCCCTTTGAGCAGGTGTTGTTCTTTCTTCATCAACTGTAATTAGTGCCAATTCCACTTGCGAGAACTGTGGCATTGTTCATATTAAATCTTCGTGTGTCTATGGGGCTGTGTTTTATAATATATTCGGAACTAATACAAGCTCCGTTATCAATTCGGTGTTGCATAAACAGACGGCTCGGACGTGGCTCGGTGTCTACTGCACAGAACGTGCCCGGCTCGGACACGGTCCGGTGTACTGTGAATCATCCTTAATAGGTGGTAAAAAAACGGTGCCGGTCAAGTTTAATCATATGACTAAAAGGATCATCAGCAGATGATTAAATTAAAATAATATCTGATAATGCTTCCAATTTATATGAACTACTTCCAACTTCAGCTGTAAATTGACAGTTGAAGAGACCAACAATAATATTTTCTTGATTTTGGTCTTGCAGTTAATAAGTAATCTTGGTATTGGTCTTGGTTTTGCAGGGTCCAGTCTTGGTCTTGATTTTAGTTTTGCTGGAAGACTCTTGCAAGTCTTGCATCTTTTTAATATATTTTTACTAGAGGCACTTTCTACATAGAAGTATTTATAAATAATGTTTTTTTTTAATTTAATACACATAAAACTGCATTTTTTAAATTTAATGGAAAAACCAGCATTAGTTTCTTTAAAATGTTTATGCAATATTGCTGTTGGAGGCTAGAACCTTTGGTGTGATAACAGCAAAAAAAAACTAATCCACCACAATACACCAAAACACTTTACTTTTGCATCATGTTAGCCTTATGTTAGCATCATCAGCAGATGATTGAAACTCTTTAAAAAGTGGTGTATTGTGTTGGATTAGTGTTTCTGTTTATGCCTTTCAAATGTGGTGCTACCGGAGAATACTTAAGATTTCTTGGACCGGACATACAAGCAACGAGAAAGTTCTTGGACAGCTGAACAAAGATTGGGAACTGTTAACCACTATCAAGGCCAGAAAGGTTAGCTACTTCGGACATATAGGTAATGCGTGGCACCAAATATTATATTCCTCGTTTGATTATTTAAGTAAAAGTCGACGGTAGGAGATGGGTAGGTCAAAAGAAACTGCCATGGCTCAGAAATATACGAAACCGGGCCGGTCTGGGGGTGGAGAGGCTGTTTCATGCAGTAGAAGCTAGAGAACTCTTCCACGAAATAGTCATGGAGATCTCCAACGCCTGAAGACAGGCATGGCACCGCAAGAAGAAGAATAGTCGGGAAACAGTGGCGGATACAGAGGGGGACCATGGGAGCAATAAGCCCCCCTAAAATCTATAAATTGGGTTAAATATTAGGCTTTTGGGTTAAACATAGCGCTCTAAAAAGCATATTCTACATTACTTTTTATTTGGACCCCCCTAAAATCAATTCCTGTATCCGCCCCTGTCGGGAAAGCACTATTTATAGTAACGCATAACAATAATTTTTAAGAAATAAGTAATTTCGTATATACAGGGCGGGAGTCTTAAATAAGTGCAAATATTTTTTAGGGGTAGTATATTTCTACACCAGAAACATGATTATGAGGGTTTTTTTGCAAATAAAAATTAAAATTTGAAATTTTCTGAAAAATTTTATGGATTTTTTTAAATTTTTAGTTAAAAACGTAATTTTTTGATAATATTGCAACATAGTAGATTAATTTTACAAAAAATAAAATCCAGAAAAGATTATTTAATAAAAATTTAATTTAAATTATAAAAAATAATTTAATTTCATAAATACTTAATTAGTTAAAAAATAAGATGCAATAATGTAAAAAATAAAGGATAATCTAATAAAATTTCTTTGTACTTCAAACACGTTTTTTTTGTCCCGCATTCCTCCATTTTATTTGCTCGATTCGAGCTTTTATGTCGGAACCAGGACATTTACAAGAAAAAAGCGACCACTGCAACTCGTTCTCAGTACTAATAAAAACATTTTAATAGTAATCTCGGTTTCAGTTCTGATGCGAATGTACCGCAAAACGCCGCGACCTTATCTAAAATCTAACAGTTTTCGAAGAAAAAGCTCAGAGTAATAACTAAAAGAGGAAATAATATTAATATGTGACATTTACTACAAAATAAATAATTAAATATTGAAAAGTTGATATGTTAAATCCGTAATTTCAACTTTTTAGAGAATATTTTTTTTAATGCGATTAAGGAAAACTTATATAACGTCTTTAATGTTCTAATGTTCTATTGATGCTTTCAAAACTCTTAACGGTCAAACTATATTGAAGGATAGTCAGAAGATGGGAAAATATGAACCATTGTTATAAGACGAAAATTAGAAAAAAGAAGTAAAATATTTTTTAAGATGCTCGTAGATCAATGGCTGAGGACTGTGGTGTGAAATCTGAGTAAGAAAAAATGTTACAGCAATTACAAGAAATGCTAAACAAATATACCTGGGCATACGGGGCTTTGGGCTTTAAGCTGAACATCGATAAAACCAAAATCACGTGGACTCTCCTGGAAAATCATAACAATGTTGTACAAATCGGAGTAAACATGTACAAATCGGAGAAAACATGTAGCAGAATTCAATTACCTCGGCATGGCAGTTTGATTTCGGAAAAGGCCAATATCGATTCTGAAATTCAGCACAGAATTAGCAGTGCCTCAAGAGCATTCTGGAAATTAAAAGATATAGTTTT